CGCTGGCCAATAGAATCTTCCTTCCTATTCGTGGCAGCCAGCTATAGGCTCTCACTCTGGCCAGTACAAAATGGCCGCAAACTACATGAAAAGTGCCGTAGAAGCATGAAAAAATCGATTATTTCCACTATCAAGTTGGGAAATGCAAAGTCGGTTTTAGCCTTCCCGCTAACTTGGAGCATGTGCATGTAAGTTTTGGTGCAAATCCGTCGAAAATTGCGGCCGTGCATTCGTTACACACACACACACACACACACACACACACATCCTGCCTTTTATAGATAGAGATACAATAAACTTAATTGATGGTGATTAAAACAATAATTAGATGAAGTAATGTCATAATGAATGTATGTTTAGTGTAACAGATGTCAGCGAGCTGAGTTCAAATTCTAGGCTAGTATGTTGCGTTCACTTTTGCACTAATGTCCTTGGGACTAGGAGCTCTAGCCTTTAGTGACAACCAGTCTAAGAAAAGAAAAACTCTGAATTCAAAACTGCGGAGAAGACAACGGCAAACCACGTCATTATTTTTCCTAAAAATACATGGCAATTCACAAATAATAATAAAAAAGATTTGTGAAGAGTCAGGATCGCTAAAATCTTGAAGGGACATGGCATTAACAAAAACAAACAATTAAGGTCTTTAATAAATAAGTTGAATATAATTGGAATATATATTGGTATTGAAAATAATTTCCCGAAACACTAGCTAAATTTATAATAGGGGTTACTTAAAAGCGTAGGGAATTTTACTAGACTGTAAAATGGGGGAGTTCTTTTGTTTTAGTTTGAATTTTCTACTTTCAGTCTCTGAGATGAATTTCAACTGATTAGCCGCAACCTAGCGCTATCTATGCATACGCATGCAGTAAATGTACAACCGAACAAAACAAGTAAATTGAGCGTCTCTCCGTAGAACAATAATTAACAAACTAACCTCGTTGGTAAGTGGTACTCATACCCACTTTTTTTTTTTTTTTTTTTGGTGGTGGTGGTGGGGGCAATGCACTCATTTCACCAGATTTCAGAATATAATTCCACCCTTCAAAGATTGTCTGATTCAAAAGGTGCATTGTAATTTGTCGAAAGATCAATATTCGAACAATCTTTGGTCCCAGTTTCATACTGAAACTCTATTGTTCTCCTGGGGAAGTAATTCTCTGGTTGAGAAACGCTGTCATAGACCATTACTACTGTAGTCAGTTTGATTCTTAGTAAATACCTGATTATGTCTCTTCCACCATAAGAACGTTTTTTATTTTTTATTTTTTTTTTATTTTTTTTTTCCTTTGTCGAGTGCCAGTTTTGTGAAGCACAAAGCTGGAAATCATTATTACGCAGTACTTTTCGGATATTCCACGTTGCTAAAAAGCCTTAAAAGCAATTTCAGGTTTATCTTGGTCGTTAGAGATAGGCTTTAGACACTGTCCAAATTCAGATATATTCGTCATAAATTTGCATGAGAAGCTGTCTGCAATACATACACAAAACATACGTGGCCGTTGTATCCGTCTTTGGAATTTTGCCACTGACCATTTCGCGGAGAAATTTTACTTATTCCCTCAGTCAACTTGGTAATGACTAATAAACTAACAGGCGTAAAACATGTTCGGTACCAAAATTCCAGAAAGATACTGTAATTTAATCATCCAGAAGGTTTTATGAAAATGAGGGCTGCGGTTCAACAGGTACTTCTGGCAGCTAGACAGGTGCTAAGTTTATTCACCCTTTATCCATGCAAATAACATAGTAAGTAATTATTATTCTGCAATAGTTTAGCTTATTTTACAGACACTAGACTGACTTGCAGCTTTCTTCTTTTCTTCTATAAGTTACAAGTTAATTAATACTTAAACTGTGGTCCAGTTGTTTTATTAGGCGTCATTTGTAACCTTGCAAGCATACGCACAACCTAAATAAAGAAGGTACTTTCTCTTACGTGGGAAACCCCTTTTCAAATCGTCCTTCATGAATCCAAGCCATGAAGCTTGGACACAAATCAGAAAATGTTTAAGAAACTAAAATTTTGTCGAAAAATAAATACAACAAATTTAGTTGAAAGTTAAACTTTTATTTAGTTAATAAAAGTTAATAGATATATCACAACTATTTGCTAAATGTCCGAATGGAACCTTCTTATTAATGGAATACGAATGATTCGTCCCAGTGTACGTGACATGGCGGATTTTGGCTGTTATAGGTCAGAACTGGTGGAACTAAGGAATGTAGTTCATCAGAAATAGCGATAGGGCACGCCTCTCGCTACTCTATCAATATTTCCATAGCATTGAGCAAAACATTAATAAGAAAAAAATAGTAAAAAAAAATATAATTTCATTTTTTTTATTTCTTTCTATATTTCCTTATATCTACCTCCTTCATCTTTTATGTATCGTGTCTCTTCAGGATGTTGGCGATTATGGCTCTCCGCAACTTTCTATCCTTTGTAGCTTTTATCAATTTTTATCTTTTTACTATCCATTCCACTTCCTGTTCTGACATCCATGTATTAAAGCTCATTAGGTAAAGTACTCGTTGTTTCCTTTTGCCCCTCTTCCTTTCAGTATGTCTTGTGAGTATCAAATTCTTCAAATCTCCTTCCTTTATTATGTGTCTCAGAAATGCCAAGTGTTTCTTTTCGATCATAAGCATAGCGTTTATTTCGTTCCCATTTTCCTTAAAACTTCTTCGTTGTTCATAATTTTCCACCTACTTTATTCTCAGTATTCTTCTATAGAACCACATCTCAGTGGCCTCAAGTTTCCTATTTATCTGTGATAAAATTGCCCAGCATTTACATCCATGTAGGAGGATTGATATTACATAATAGTTGGGCAGTCTTATCTTTGTTTCCAACGAAATGGAATCGGCAAATTTAGTTCGAATACAGTTTGAGGCTGTTTTCTATTTACTGATACGCATGAAAAAAAGTATATATCCACACCCACACGCTCGCTTCCATTGTTACTTACTTTGACAACAATTTTTCGTTGGTGACGTAACAAGATAGTTAACAGGGAAAAACTGGTTGAGTAAACACAAACCACACTTCTATAATTACTTGTTTCCCGGGTTGTAATAAAAGTTAATAGATATCACACCTATTGTCTACCTTGACCGAGACCAGTCAAAACAATAGGAAGAAAGAACAGGGATACAGGTGTAAAATGGCTAACAGAGGAATTGGTTGATGCCATCTACATTTGGGCAGTTGTCAAAAACAATCCTGCCAACATCGTGATACTGTATTTTGTGTACAAGAGGAGCAAATTTTCTCTTACATCAGAACAATCTATTGAACAAAGCTGTTTTTCCCTTGCATGTTTTTTTACTTTAAGCAAGGCTCATTAATTGGCAACCCAGACACACATCAATATTCCAAACACCAAACCTAACAGAAGATTGCTTTATCAATATTTAAATTTTCTTCGATGAGTTAATTCAATAAAACTGATTGCACTTAAAATTATTCATCTGAAAGAAGCAATAAAATCTTGAGATGAATGCATGTGTATGTTATCTGTGCTCCCTTGGCAGTTACTGAAAGTTATAAATTAGCTCATTAAAACTGGAGTATATTTTGTGGTAACAGCTTTGGGTTGATGGTCTAAGATTTGCGATTCAAGTTCTCAGTATGGGTTGCTTATGTTCCGAAAGCATTTTTATTTGATTAAATTTTTGTAGAAATTATGAAGGATTTTTCAGTAATTCATCCTGGGGTTTATTGTCTTCATTCCGTAGAAGAAAAAGAAAACGGATTTGAAATCAGAGCAAAAAAGTATTATGTTTTCACTGCATATGTTTTGACTGAAGGAGGAAGCAATGTACTGAGGATTAGGAATTTTACAATACCCTCGCATAAAAGAACTTTAATTTCGAAACGTAATGATTGGTGCCAGGCTTTTTTGACACATAAGTGTTTTCGTTGAATTTTTATTTAAAAAAAGAAAAAGAAGCTGTATTAATGCTACCCCGAATATTTTATGTGTATGGGGCATGGAACTTTTTCGATTATATACTTTACTGAAAAATAACTAATGCTCTTCAACCATGTGGTCAGTTGCATTTTTCTTTTATAAAAGTTAATCCACGTTACTTATCCGCCATAAAACACTATAAATAATTAAAAAAGTTGATTTTTATTTTAATATTAAAAGCATTTCCTGGGTTGGTAAACTGATAACAGGGTAGTTAATAGAACATTACGTTAAATGATCCATTTAATATTTTTCTAGAAAACTATAATTTAGTAATATGGTAATGTTTAACTCAAGATTAAATTTGCTTTGAGGTAGCAGTGTCATTGTAATAACATACTCTCAGCATGGAAGATGCAGCTTCCATCTCAATTTAGATTATATATAGCAAAGTAATTAATCCCCAGATCTTCAACACTTCAAATATAAGACATATATTATATGTGATGTCCATGCAATAATAAATCCTTATAAAATGCTGCGATATCGAAGGGACTTATATCGAAGGCTGACAAAAGTGATTATGCCTGTAATTAGCCAAAATACATTTTCTTGTCCCTGGTCTTAAGTTTTCTCGAATTCTTTATCTAAATTACAGTGGAGTAATGGATATGCGACTCGGATTGAAGAATCGGAGAGCCGAGGTCGAATTCCATTCAAATCCATTACATTCTCTTACGTGCTAATACCCTCTTCTTCTCACCCACATAACTGATTGATCTAAATTATATTTTCACACCAGTTCTTATTCTGGCAGCTGTTAACTCTCGATTGATTGCTTTTTTTTACGACTTATCAACCATTTGCAGCTTATTTAAAGCCAGAAAATATTTTTACATTGTAATTATATTTTTACATTCTACTAATTAATCCACAGCTGGGGGGGGGGAGATGGATTCATATCTTTCCCAATCGTATTTGCGCCTAAGTGAATATAACAAACCCGACTGGAATTGGAACTCAGCTTTGTTTCCAACCCTGAGCCGTTATCCATTACACCACCTGCACGTCCAAGCTTAGAACACTTGATATTCCCAAGCGGTTATCCATTTAGGTACTGACCAGACTCGATGTTGTTTAACTTCGGTGGTCGTATGGGGCCCGGTGTTTCAACGTGATATGGCCGTAAGCCTGTTATTAAACCAACCCTCCCCCCCTCTCTCTCTCATATATATATATATATATATATAAAACTTATAATCACATAACCAATAGTAATTATCTTCTGGAGAGGATCCAGGGGCCGGCGGATGAAGCGCTTGCTTTGAAAATTGGCTTTGATATTATTTTCATATACAAAATATGTCACTCAAATTTTATACTTAGCAGACAGAATTAATAGAACCTTACATAAAAATGATATCTAACCACTTGGCTATCAATCAGGGCGTTAAAACCAGTATTTTTTTAAATGACAAGCTAGCTACCAAAGGTACAAATCACACCATATTTGACAATTAAAACTGTGGACGCATCTGCTGTTGACATTCTTTAAGTTGTTTAGTGGCACGCGCCGACATCTCGTTCAAAATAAAGCATTGCTTGTTTACATTCAGATCAAAGTATTTAGCAGTGATTACGATTCAGGAATTTTAGCACTTTGCCTGCAACTGCAGACGACATTCCGTTAGCTTTAGATCGAGGATAAAATCTGCATAAAAGTAGGTCCACAGTTTACAAAATTTTGCCAGTTATCTTTCTAATCAATCAAAAACAGGAAACAAGCAATTCACCTGAATTTCCTTTTGGGGCGGATTAAAAGTTACAAATAATCGAGTTTCATATCCCTTTTAGTTTTCTTCCATGGTTGGTTCTCTTTCGAATAAGAACACTTGAAAGATTTAATTGTTGGTGTTTCTAGATTTTTCTACTGAAATTAATATTGAATTCAACACCGCTCATCAACCTTTTGGAGCATATTTGCCTGCTGTTGATCACGTTTTAACTTCGTCACACAATGGACTCTGGTGCAGTCTACTTACCTGTTGCTCCTATCATGATCTCTCTCTCTCTCTCTCTCTCTCTCTCTCTCCGCACGCATGCGCGTAAATAGATATTAGGGGCGGGTTGCCATGCATAAATATTATTAACTATATCTTACTCTATGTTTTTTTTATTTCTTTCGAACATATCATTTCCAACTTTCGTGATTACATGTACAATAAACACGGTAGAAATGTTAACTTTTGAAAACATTTAACATTTTATTTATTAAATAAATTTGGTTGTTGATGTATATTTCTGACTGAAATTTTTCTTCAAATAACTTTAATTTCTACACCGAACCAACACACATTTAGGTGCAAAATTTAACTGCAGTTCTGGGAAGATGCGTTATGTGGTCACTGAATAAAGCAGGTTTGTTAATGATGTTGAGAGATTAGGGACTGGGAGAATCATTTAAATCTCACCTGATCTAATTTATTCAAAGTGGAACACTTTTAAATGCCCAAATGAGAAACAAATTACTAAATTAAAAAAAAAACAACAAAAAAAAAAAAAAACTTCAATTTATGCGAAAAATTTAACGACAAATGAGCTTTTAATGTAAACTGAAACACAGATTCAAAAAAGAACAGTAGCCTACATAAATCACGTACATAAGCATGCCCAGAATTAAAGTTATGTGTTTTGTGTATAACTACAGTTTTATTTCATGTATGATATTTTGGACAATTTTCTTCATAGTTGTTTTTAATACAACGTTTCAGCCGATACTCTTCAGCCTTCATCAGGTCTATATTGTATCTTTAGAATATGAATACTATATAGAATAATGAAAATATTTTATTCCATAACGTCAGTCTTGTTTTAAAGAAATTAAAAACAACATAAAGCGTTTTGCTTTTCTGAAGCCTCCAACAAAATATTTCGTGAGGTACTCGTTGGAGTAAGTCAATGAGAAACTATGTAGACAAGGAGAAAGCCCAGATTAGAGCCAGCAGACAGATTACAGCGGAAAGGTGTTTATTAAATAAATTAGTGGTTTATGGCGTCAACAATCTGCAGTGCCCCGTCTTGAAGTTGACAGTGGTACGTCAAGGTTGAAGGTTAAAACAATGCGTTGTCATAATGAAGCGACGAATGTCCAGAGGTAGCGAGTACAGAAGATACTGGTCCTTGTTGGAACTTGAATTAAATATTTCTTACTCATGTTGTATTTGCTGAAAGTAGTTAATTTTCATGGCCGTATCTGGTAAACGAACGAGCTGGATCTAAACTCCAGCCTTCAGTTCATAGTCAAAGAGCATTTAACCTGGAAATAAATCCAGCTAAATGATTGTATCAGAATGGTTTCCTAATATAGTGAGGAATAGTATAGTAACCATCCTAAAGTTTACACTTTGTGCTTTTTCAATATGGCATCCAAGGTGGCTGCCAAATCCCTTAAAATGTTCATTATTTGGTTATTATTTATCTTAAATGTTGTTTCTTAGCGGTTTATAGTAACATTAGATGTACTTGATAGCATATGAAAAGTTTTCCACAATCTGACTACCAGAAAGCTATGATTTTCATGATAGCCTATAACAGGGGTGGCCAAATTTGTTTAATGTAAGAGCCGCATACGATAAATTTCAAATGTTTGAGAGCCGCAAGACATGAATAAAATTTACACACGTTTTTGTTACATACACATTAACATTAAACTTACGTTTTTTAATCCAATGGAGTCTCAATTCATACCCAGTAAATAATTATAAAACTTGAAAATTTTCTTATTTACCTTTTATATTGACTGCGATGAAAAAGTTCTCTCAGCCAACATATTTCCATGAGCCGCATATTAAAGGTCATAGAGCCTCATGTGACTTGCAAGCCAAGGTTTGGCCACCCCTCGCTTATAGCGGCCAATTGCTCCTTAAAACTGCTCCTTACTCGTTTTTGTGGGCATTATTTTGTATTTTTGTAAAGGTGTAATTTTCAAAATGGCGTCCAAGTAATTTTTAATACTTTATGAGCTAGTTTTATAGCGTTCAAAAATGCAGGTGAGCTGATTTTTTTTTTCAGAATAGTCCTTTGGTATACGGGAGAATATAATATTAGAGCTTCCGCCTTTGTTCATGAATAAAGTGCAGCATTCATACTTTTGACAAAAAAAAAAGTTTATACCTCACAATCTTGTTTATTTGAATTACATCTCGACCGAAGGTCTTTGCACATTATTCAAGTCAGTACTGCTACAACGGTCAATAATTTTCCTCTGCTTAGTATTAGAAATAAATCTGCAAAGTACATAATACTTGAATCATAATTTATTTGGTAAGACTAATTAACAAAATAGAAACAAGAATATGCAATAAAAATACAGTATATTAAAATAAAAAGATTTATCACAGAATTTCAGTTATAAATTTAGTTTTCATCATCAGCTGTAAAAACGGGTTACAATATTACGATACGTATGACCCATGCAATGGATGTATATATCTGTGTGAACCACCCCCGTTTTTCTACAACCATAAGCATTCCTGCATCATATTCTACAGTCACAATTGACTGAGGCCTAGCTGGTTGGGCAGTGATAGTTCTCTCAATGGAAGTTTAATTATCGACCCAACTACTGCTGAACCTTTAGATGCACCTGCTTAGCCGCTGCAGTGATTGGTGATCTCAAATTGGTACTTGCTGATGGTTTAGCTACTGAGTGTTTGTCTGTATTCATTGTGTTCCGGTCTGTAGAGTTTGAGCAGAAACTGTTCCCCTGCAGTTGCTACATCGTCTCGAGTGCTGAAAGTTAGTGAAAATACATTCTTTAATACTTTTGCTTAACTTCGTCTATACATTTTGTAACATCCTGAAAAGTTGCTGCTTTAGGTCAGACCAAAACATTAAATAAATATTTTCCATTAACAAGAGACCTGGGGATGTAGGATTAATTTTTACTGAAGGAAGGTTTATATTTTTTTTTACTTGAGTTCAGGATGCAAGCAGGTTGGCTGAACGTAAACGATACATTGATTTGATAAATGTATTCACTACATGTACTTGAGTGTTTTCATCATAGCAACTGGGGACTTGACAGTCTTTCTGATGTAGGCTCACCATTGCATAGATCTTACCTGTCAATATCAAGGGTATCATCATAGTTCACTATTTTGTACGCCAGTAACGAGGAAACAAGATATCGGGGTCATGTGATAAAAACGGAGAATACTATCAAGAGCAGGCTTATCGTTAGAGGAAAAAGGGACCTTCCTGAAAATTACTTTTTGCCATCACTACTGCTACAAGCAAGGAATGTGATCTGAACGCCTTTGAGCAGTGATAACGATCACATCTGTATAATCATTCTCCTCATAGTTAATGGATGTTCCCCACTCTATTCGCAATACTCCGTCGACGGGCCTGAGGTGCACCATTTATTTTCAAGTATCATATGTTTATATTAAGGAACTATTCTAAAATAAAAATATCGTTTATCTGCGCTTATTTCTGGGTTTGACACTTTTGGAGCCTAATGCACATGGTGTTGTGATTTTAAATCTCACTGAAGGCTGTTTCTTTTCGGCATATACAGGGTGCGGCAAAAGGTGTATAGATGACGTGGAGCAATTCAGTGGCCACGATCACAGGACCTAACACCACCAGACTTTTTCTTGTGGTGTTTACTGAAGGATCTTGTTTACTGGGTCAAATTGAAAACAACTCCTGAATTTAAACAAGCAATTTCTGACAAATTTTCTTAAATTAATGTAGATATGTATCAAATGGCTTGCAGGGGTGTTGCTGATAGCGTTTAGCGTTGTATTAAACATGAAGGGAAGCATTTTGAATATAATTAAATAGTTTACTGTTTACCTTATTCGGATTATTATCCTCATTTGTGTCGCTATATTTATCACAACGTTTCGGCTGTTGTACGCTCCTGCCTTCTTCAGGTGGTTGGAATGTATTTCGCTGACTATTCTAGTTCCACGTTCCATGTCAAATGGATGTCAGTTATTAGTTATCTCCTGTTAATTCCCCTCTCCAAGTTCTCCAACGCTTTAACCAGGTATTGAACTGGATCTAATTAACGCCTTTATCCACTGTGCCATGTGTCATTGAGGACATCTGTGTATGAATTTCTGGGTATTATAAACTAATGTCTTCAGAAACGATTTTTTTTTATAGACAGATGATTAA